TCATATAGTTGTACACGGTAAAATCACTACGATTACCTCGCAGTCAAAACTCTGACATTGTATTTTTGCGGATCACATTTTTATCTAAATTCTAGGGATTTTCCCGAAAGAGGATCCTTGAAGAGATTTTGAATAGTTTAATACTTACAAGGGAAGGATAATGGAACGATGTGGCCCTTTGTGATGCGATGTATATCATCATATCAGTTAGTAACACTAATGTCATATCCGTATTTTCAACTGCTAAACCTCTAAAAGAAATCACTGAAGTCATTTTACTGGTTATAGAACAAAAATAAGCTAATACAAACCTTAAAAGCTTACCTTCGACCAAATCTGGAAAAGAAAACAATAAAGAAGTCTTCACGTCTTCATATGGGTAAGAGAAGCTTCTGAGTGATAATCCACCCATTCCGCACGCTGCAATAGAATTGGATACAGAACTTGAGTACCTTCATTTGAAAAAAACATGTTTTGAATACAGATTAAAATCAGTATTTCATACTGCTTCTATATCTTGTGAACGACCTAACAGCGTTCCCCTGCGTTAGCTTCACAACTTCACTTTGCGCCTAATTGTGAAAATGTTTTCATCTGAGACACAGCAATCGCTTCTTATAATCCTGAGAGATTTTGGACTAAACCCGCTAATCTTGTCGAAGATAAAATGTGCAGAGTGTCGATATCATAAACTGAGGTTGTTATAAATTAAAGAAATTTTAGCTCCACATCAGCCTCGGAAGCACCAGCAACCTCAGTTTTCCCACATTTCCTGTTCCCCGGTACAGCATTTCCGTCTCCATCAACAGTATCCGAAATCTCATCGCCAATGATAATGCAAAATTCAATTGATATCTCTCCAGCACAGATCCAGGTTTGGCTCATTTTCTCACATTACACGCGATACTATGCATCAGTCTCGTGCTGCTAATAATGAGCGATGCAGTCTGATTAAGCTACGGGATTCACGGAGTGATGAAACCCGATCTGTCGATTAGTTATCCAACGCTCATTAACAACTTTATGAGGCTGAGCTCAGTATCATACGCTTAGAGTTGTCTCTGAAATAACAGATAATCGTAATTGCAGCAAGCCTACCTCTCGTTCTTAGTGGGGCAACAGCTGAATTCGGCTGCTGCAGCAGCAGCGGCTTCAAATCCACTCCGTATCCTGGCTCAAGACCAAGGTTGGTTCAAATCCTTTGAAGGGTTTTATGACTGAAGTGATTAGATGATGTTTTGTTGATGGTGTAAGCAGGATCGATTTCTTGTTGCGAGGGGCTTGCAGGATAAAAGCAGAAATGCTAGCAGTCTTAGCTC